CCCAAATGATGACACGTAGTTGAGCAGCCGTTGCGAACGATCGAGGCTGGGTTGCGTGAAGAGGTGATGGTTGCGCGCTTCGTCCCAGAGGGGGTTGTGACGGTTAAAGTCCCCTAGCCAGACCAGGGAGTCTGTCGTTGGTCGACCGTTGCTATCAGGGGCCAGTCTCCTTGTGGCTCTAGCGACTGCGTGAAGTGCTTGATCGTGGTCGCCGTCGACGTACAGGTTGAAGATGTGGACGGTGCGCTGTTGCGAGACGATGGTGACCGCAGTGACATCTGGGGATGGGATCTTGATAGGGTGCCATGCATTTGAAGAGATGCGTGTGTTTACAAGTACAATGGAGCGGGTGCGATGGCCAGAATCGTGGTGTCCGGTGGGGTATACGACCGACCATCGAGGGTTTGCGCGGGTGAGATTAAGGTGATCGATAAAGGGTTCCTGTATTGCTATAATGTCATAGTCATCCGGAGACGCGGAGTGGATGAGGTCGAGCTGCGCTAGCAACGATCTATTCACATTCTGCTGCCAAATCCTGAGAGGTGAAACGTTAGTAGTGTCAGCTGTTCGTACATATTGATGCGCAGCGTCAGGCATCAGTGTCTTCTGTTCGACGGTTCTGGGGTGCAAAAGGCAACTGCGTCTGGGTCAGGCGGGCCCGATGAGCCGCTGCTCTTGCCCGCTGCGAGGGAGCTGCTGGCCCCCTCTCCAAGGCCTTGTCGATGACCTCACTTAGCTTTCCGCAAGCTGGCATTCCGCCATCCAGCTTCGGTACCCAAGAGTCTGGGTCGGCTGTGGGGAAGAATTGAAGGCAGTTCTCCGGATGTCTGGCGTCCATCTTTCCTAGATGCTCTAGGAACGTCGGACAGTCCCGGTCCCATGACGCATGCCCCCTCTCATTGCAGTTACTGCATCGGTACTGCTCCACGTCTTTGACCGTACAGTCAGCAGTGCGGTGCGCCCTCGCACATGTGCCACATGTGTCGTGCCCCTGAGGACAATCTCTAGCTAAGTGACCGGCATTATAGCGGTGGCACTTCGCGCATCTAATCGGCTCCACTAAATTCTTTCGTGCACTTACATGGCGTCCCGCTAACACCAAACCCGCTCTAATAACCTTGTTAGCCGCCTCCGGACTGGAGAGCGCTACCAACAGGTGAGCGAAACGTTGGCCCTGGTACCGCCTGTGCGCTGGCTTGATCCAGCGCGCCTCTATAATCTCATTGCTGTCCAGGCCGAGGCCTGCTTCGATACTGCGCCAGACCTCTCCGTTCGTAGGGTCAAAAGTGACGGGGACAAACTCCGCTACCAGCTTGTACTGGCGTTGGCGGACTTTCGACTGTTCTCCCAGAACGGATACGAAGTCCTGGGCATGGGCAGTCACCCACTTGGCTAAAGCCGGGGAGGCCAGCTCAAGGACGACACCCCCATTCCTCAGGATCTTGGCCGCAGTGAAGCGGAGGCCCTCCGGGATGTCCATGACCCCGTGGGGTAGGAAATCCAGCGCCTCATTCGCCTTCTCAAGGATGGCGACTTCCGTGAAGACGCCACCATCTCCCATCGGAAAATCATCAACTAACACCTGCCGCGCCCGGATACTCTCGCGATCCGCGACACTGAGCTGTGTCGCGCGCGTCGCGTTTGGGAAGGTTGCGCGTGCCGCCGCCGCATAGGAGAAGGGAGAAGATGCTGGGAACGACTCACCGGGGCCGATGCCCATGCTACCCGCGCTGCGTGCTTCTCCTACTGCAGTTGCTATCTTCTCGCTCATACTGTCTCCTACTCGGGTGAGCTCGCTTGTGAGCTCCGCGATCTGCTCTCCGGCGGTGGTAAGCCGCTTCTCGAGCGTGCCGACCAAAGTCGTAGCCTGTGCCTCGAACTCTGTAAGTACAGCTGTTGTGAGGGAACTACTCACCGCGTTATCCAGGACTGCCTTAGCGTAGACCGCTAGCGCGATGCAGCACTCGGACGCCCAAGCAACGTTTCCGAGACTCACTCCTACGTGTTGGAGTCCTGTGACCAGTCCCTCAGCTGTGGGGTCTCCTGCGGCAGGGACCATCTGGTGTTTGCGTAGTATCTTCATGGCGTCGTCCAACGACTGGATCTTCTCCGATGCCTCTACAAAGGACTCCGTGGATGTCGACCGGAGGTGCCTGGTAGACGATGCACCCGTCGGATGGGTAGCCGGTGTCTTCTTCGCTCGCGTAGCAACTAGTGGCGATGCTGTCGCACCTCGTCTGTTAGGTTCCGGTGGCATTTTATCACTATGTTGTTCTTAAAGTATGTTTTGTACGCTAGTATGTCGCCCAGAGAGTAACTGACCGCACGTCGTAGCCCGCTCCTATTGGCTTACGACCGTGGGAAAGTCGCCACATGTGGTGGTACGAGA